AAGAAAGAAAGAAACCATGCGTGAACACCAACGTACGTCCGGTTTCTAAGCACCCCACTCCTCGACGTAGAGTACACATTTGTGTTCTGCAAAGAACGCCAGGCAGTTCAGAAAGGACACAGCCCATAACTTGTTTTCCTACAAAAGAAACGACTTTTTATCAGCAAAAAGCACATTACAACCACTCCACAGTAACGCTACGCGCACGAAGACTGGTATAATTAGACAGCTACAGCATTCCCGGCACGTTTTACAAGTGACGAGTAAATTGTTCAATGAAAAAATAGCATTACAAAAAGATTACAGAGTTTGGAGGAAGTTCTGGTATGAGAACGCCCACCAATGATTAATTTAGATGTACAATGGCGTCCAAAAGAAACGAGAATATATTCACTCAATCATCCAGTCAAAGCTTTGCTCTACCCACTCATGCAGCATACCAATTAAAAGTTATATAAATTCTGCATTAGCTGACATATTAATTGTTCATCTACGAAAAGCGTCGCCCGAGATATGGTCACTCAAAATTAACCTTTGAAAATTAGACTTGGTAAAATTGTGTGAAATCAAAGACACTTAAAAGTGTGTTTGCGTGTGTATTGAGTTGCTCCAACATAGATGAAATGAGACATTAAATTACGTATAAAATGAAAGGAGAATTTTGTTTCAGCAATAAATGATTTGATATTGCGATAGTTTCAAATAGATTGAAAAATAGAACAATTACTAATACCACTCAAAAACATGGACTTAACATTAAACGTGCCTGTAACTATTTTGTTTAGAAGACACTGGTTTCGTGAAGAGGACAAACAATTCGGGTATGGGCTGTGTTAAATTTTGGACATAAGTATCTGACATTTCATCCCAAATGTCACAGAGTGTTGCAAACAAAGCGTCTGAATTGAGAACTAAGATGCGTTTCTTCAGCTGCTGTTTCTTGGGGCTCCAAATATATCTGTAGTATTTGTATCGGGGTTATATTTACTGATGATCACTCCATCGCTTGTTGTATAATGTGGTTTTCCAAGTATTGCTTGGTGGCGTTGGCTCTATGAGAAGGTGTTTTGTCCTTTATAAAGATGCCTGCTTGAATGACACCATGACAAAATCAGGGTAAGACTTAAAGTTTGAGAACTTGCGCGATGTAGTCCTCTAAACGAAACTTCTATTAATTCTCACGAGCGAGGTTTTATTCTCTGCAGCCAGACTACGCAAAACCATGACAGTTTCGTGATCTCCTCATTGGTCTGACAGATGATTATGCCCAAAATCTCACAAACACAGTCCAAGCGCAAAAAACGCTTTGTGCTCTACACGAAACCAGTGGCTCCTAAAAAATACCAATGAGCATATTACAGGTTTTGGGTGGCATTTGTGACAGCTCTCTTTTCTAATCTCTTTGAAAATATCGTAATCAAATAGTTCATTGAAGAGACAACAGTACCTGCAAAGATTCGGTATGCATTACACGTCCATTCTGCCAATATTGATACACTTCAATACAAGCGCGCACTCACTTTTAAGTTCCTTTGATATCATACAATTTTGTCAAATGTACAGAGAGAACACACAGAGATAGAGCCCCTGTGTGTGTGTATGTGCGTGCGTGTGTGTGTGCAGTGTGTGTGTGTGTGTGTGTGTGTGTGTGTGTGTGTGTGTGTGTGTGTGTGTGTGTGTGTGTGTGAGTGTGTTTTTTTCTGTGAGTGTGTCTTTGTGTGCGTGCGTGTTTGTGTGTAAAAAATAATAAGTGTACGATTCACCGTTTCTTTCAATACTTTAAGGTTTCCCACTGGGACAGTAAAGTATGGATTCGAACTCGTGTTTTCTGCATGCAACAGCCTGAAACTCAACGGCTACTACACCACAGACACCGGTAATACGGCAGCAGCCGTACTGCGTTTCCCGAAATTATAATTTCACACCTCAGCCTACCCGTACAGAGGGGCATCTTCGTGGGGGTTTTTGGTTTGGTTTGGTTTTTCATTTTCTTTTCTTTTAACATAGATATTTTTGCGCCCCTACCGACACAATTTAGATCTCATGTGATCATGTAAGAGACGGGTTTCCGACCCTGTCTGTCAAGGCCAACCCGGGCTGAGGGAGGATACAACAACCCAGCGAAAAGACCAAGATACTCCATACAGAATGTTTCTCCACTCGGGTCTCCTGCGAGCGACAACATAGCGCCAAAGCGCTACACTGCAGACGTCGGTATCCATCTTTGTTTTTCTTTATCCTTAAAAGAAAACTAAAAACTTCGTCTAGGACCAAAAATAAACAAAGTTAAATAAATAATGTAAATTTCATGTCACTGGTGTTTCACGTCGATAGGAGCACATGACGGTCTCTAACTCATAAATTCCGATCCTGCAATCGAGAGGAAAAGGGAAAAAAATTAACTTCACAGCCCCTTTTTATGCCCGAGCATAACTCGTTTGATCTATATGCACTTCCAGCTAGAAAGTAAACACAGCAGACCATGCCCCACACACGTTCTTGAAATAGAACTCTTCCTTCCCACCCCTAACCCACCGCCCTCTACAAACTGACTATAACCCAGCTAACATTGAGGGAGGGGGGCAGAGAAGGTTAGAAGGAAGGGGGGGTGTGACTTCTATAAGGAGAGGGAGGGGGGAAGGAGGTCAGGAGGGAGAAGGAGAGA